AGCAAAAGGCATTTTTGAACGCAACAAACAAACTGTTGCACCTCGGTGTTGACCTCAATGTCCACTTATACATACATACATACACACACACACACACACACACACACACACACATATATATATATATATATATATATATATATATATATAGGTAAAGGTAAAAATCCTTCGGTAAGTAATCCAAGTGAATCCTAATGATATAAAATATTAAAACTGATCCGCAAATAAAGCTCAAAATATTTATTACAGAGCATATAAATGAAATTCTAAAATACCTCATCTATTTCGCCCTGTAGAAAAAAATGTCCTAAAGTAGTTTGTCAACACTAAAAAGTTAGATAGAATAAAATAAATATGAAACCTAACATTTTGTTAAAATTTAAATAAGAGACAAGAGGGAAAAAATGAGGAAAAAAACAACAATTAAGGGAAATAGAGAAAAAAGAAAAAAAGGACAACGTCGAGACGCGTAGAGGAGGAATGGGAGGAATAATAATTCGTCTAGAATTTAGACTCAAGACGAAAGTTTAAAGACGGTTGGAAATTTAATATCAGGAAAATTAACCTTGATCTATCTATCTATCTATCTATCTATCTATCTATCTATCTATCTATATATATATATATTGAAAAGCGATATATTAATTTTTATTTATTAAGAAAAATATTGGGGAAATAATGTGAGAAAGTGGAAAAAAGTTTGATGAAGTCGAGACGTGTTACACGAAAACTTATTTACACTTTGTCACACATTTTGCCAATATATATATATATATATATATATATATATATATATATATATATATATATATACTTTCTTCAGATAAAGTCATTCACTCCTGTAGTTTACTGCTACTAACAAATCAGGGATTTTTTTTTTTCTGCTGATGATAGCCATGCTGGCCGAAACTAGTGGAGTAACCTAACTGAAATAATAAAACAACTATTAACATACAATCTAGTGTGTCTGAAAATTTCAATTTTTTATTATTTTTATTGTTCAAAACATATATATATGTGTGTAATATAAAAAAACATATATATATATATATATATATATATATAACATTGTTAATCACCACTTTGATATTCTCTAAGCATTTGCGAGACTGAATCACAATACTAAACTGGCCAACGGGGTATCAAAATAGCTTTATTCTATAAACTTAGTGTGTTACCATTACCCTACGAAATGCATTCGGGGTTTATTCGCTTGTATATAAGTTAATGAGAGGTTTTTGGGATATAAATATAAAAGGTTTTATTTGAACATAAAACGCATATACAATTATGAGCGTTATCACAAAGATCGATCACGCTTCGAAGTAGAGGAATGTTTGTAGGCTAATCACGTGGATTTGCTGGATAGACACTCATAATAATAATAATACATATATATACATACATACATATATATATATATATATATATATATAGGTATGTATATTGAATAAGTGGTTGACATTTGACAGACAAGTTCTTATAGATATAGCCAGACACGATATTTACATTAAGATCCTCGATAATGTTTATGTTGTTGATTTATCAACAGAGCATAATAGACGCTGATTAAATTAGCTAGAAAAAAAAATCCGTTGATATGTTATTATGTATAGAGTGTGATGAGTCCGTATCGATTTGCTGAAAGGATTCGATCTTTTTACGTGTGTTTTTCTGACAGCTTATTTTTATTTTGAGATTCTGTCGAACAAACACATACACACGCACACATACCCACACACACAAACGCACACATTGTACACACTATTCATTGTTGTTTCTTATGTACACACACATTCTCTTTATTTATAAACGCTGTCTCCGACACTGAATACTTTCCCCATAAAGGTAGCAAAGTTGAATATATATATATATATATATATATATATATATATATATAGTTGGATTGATGTGAGTTTGTGATCCTGGGTTTCACGCTTTTGTGATCGTCAGAGAAACTTTGCCTGACGATAGCAAAAGCGTGAAACACAGGGTGACATGCGCACATCAATCCAACCAAATATGTTAGCTCTAACTCTGATATTGAGCGCTTTCCAATAAGTACCGCGCATATAATATATAAATAATATATATAATATATTGCTTATATATATATATATATATATATATATATATATATATATATATACACTTTTCATATATATATATAGAAAATGAAAGATAATGAGACTAAGTGAAAACGTAAGTGAACCACGCATTTCCTCTCCAAATGAAGGCGTACTCTGGTTGGAAGTAGAGAAAAAAAAACGCCTGAGAGTGCATGGTATAAGGGTCGAAATGCGTACGTAAAAGGCTCTTCCACTTAATTTCATTATTTTCGCTTTTGTTCGGATAATATTCTGCATTCAGCTCAATTCAGCACATCATATATATATATATATATATATATATATATATATATATATATATATTTTTTGAAACATGGTTAGAACTGTGTAGCGAGAAATAACATATTTTAAATCAATGAATTTATAATATATATATATATATATATATATATATGTGTGTGTGTGTGTGTGTGTGTGTGTGTGTGTAAAAATCCGTGGGTAAGTAATCCAAGAAGATCTTATTAATATAAAATATTAAAACTGATCCACAAAAAACAGCTCTGTAAAATTTTTATTATAGAGCCTAATTTCAACCGCGTTTATGTGTACCCGACTCCACCGCAACCACGTTAGGTCCCTTACCCTCTATATCTATATAACTCCCTCCTCTATTATAGGCCAATTCTTACTCCCTCTTTTATTCTTTTCTTTTTCTTTTTTCCTTCTTTCCTTCCCTTGCCTTTCAAATTTCCTGTGAAGTAATGTAGAATTTTATTGATTTAAGTAAATGTATTTGCATTGATAAGTCCAGGGAAAAACTAGTTTCCCAAAGACGAAATGATCATCGGTATGAGGTAAATTATTTGGATCTCATGATATATATATATATCTATATATATATATATATATATATATATATATATATGTATAGGGATTCACTTTCTTTCTTGCATATGTGTGGTTGTATCGACGGGTCCTAAACCCTATCAGACTAAATTGATATCCGCGTCGATGTGGAAGAAATTCTTTACACTAAAACTTTTTCCACTTTCTCATACTTTTCCCCCATAAAATCGTTCTTTACAGAAGAAAAGAAGTAAGAAACACACACACACACACACGCACACACAGACACACACAGACACACACACACACACACATATATATATATATATATATATATAATTTACATGTGTGTGTGTATGGGGAAATGAGTTTAAGAAAAGCCTTTTAATGACAAAGTGTTTCGCGTTTTGTATGTTAGATTGGCGTCTTCAAAGCAGAATGGAAAGCAAAATTGTGTGTTTTCTGTATTAAAGCCATCAATGGTAAGAATGAAAGAACTCGACGACATGATTGTTTTTCTTTCTATCAAAGCCGTGAAATTGAAAAAAAGAAACAAAAAAAAAAAACACAAAAAAAACAACAACAACAACAACAAAAAACACTTGTTCCTTCATTTCGACCGGAAGACGCCAACATAGCAATCAAACATTAACGGCTGTAATAATAATAAAAAAAATTGCCTTCTATTCTGAATTGACGACGGCAGTCTAACACACGAAGGCGAAACGCGATGTGATTAAAAACAACTCACCACTTTGTCTAATTTCGCCATTTTTGCTTGGGTACAATATCCTACGAATCCGCATAGTGTGTCAAAATCCAGATATTAATAAAATGCATCTGTAAAGACTTTTACTTTTGACAGCCTTAATAGTCCATTGGTTATATTTCTTTTTATATTCTTTCCTGGTTCAACAGATCACATTTCCAAGCATAAAAGAAAAGGGTTTAAAAATGTACATACCATAATTTTTATACAAGCTTTTGGTTAGTTTTAAGTTGATGTAAGGTGATAAAGAGAGGGTAGGAGGAGGACGACAGATATGGTTGAAATTAGAGAAGGAAGGGAGAGATAGGAATAATTTTAAATCTATGTTTATTAAGATACTTAAAAGTAAGGGAGGCGGTGTAAAGTGTCAGACATTTGACCTGTTCAATAAGTAAAAGAAAAAAGACAAAGAGAAAAAGTAAAGAAAGAGACAATATATAAAAGAAAACAAATGGGGAATCAGGAGTGGGGGGAAAAAGAAGAAAAGGAAAATAAATTAACATATATAGGCATATTGAGCTCTCTGGATTATATTCTCTTGGGATTATCCATACAGATTACAGAAAATTTCATTACCTAGCTATATATATATATATATATATATATATATATATATATATATATATATATAGTGGACTCTCCCGTCGTATTCGACGTATGAGGGACAAGCAGCTCAGTTCCTAGGAACCAACATTCCAGACACCAGCAAATATGATTTGATTATAGTTGTGAAGGCTTTGTGTCACTGGATCTAACCAACGCCTTTATCCACTGTGCGTGTGGCGTTGGTTAGATCCAGTGACAGGACACAAAGAGTGTGAGTTCAATACCCAGTTAAAGCAGTGGAGAAATTGATTAGGGGAATTTACAGGAGATAACTGAGAACTAACACCCATTAAACATGGCACGTGGAACTAGAAGAGTCTACCCCAGTGAGCGAAATAAAGAGTCCAGTTCGACATTCCAACCACCTGAAGAAGGAACATTCTTCTTCCCATCCAATCTACACTGTTTTCTTTCGATCCATTACTTTTCCAATCAATTCTCCGGGCTTAGTTTTTTTCCCCAGTCAATTCCCAGCTCTTTAGTGTTCCGATACATTACAACCTCTTTCATGTTCCGATCCATTGCATAATTTTCTTCTTCCCATCGATGTCTTCCGATTTATTCCATACTTTTGATTCTTCTCGTCCAAGTCTTCCGATATATTCTATCATTTTTCTTCTTCTCATTCACATCTTCCGATCCATTTAATCCTTATTCTTCTTCCCATCCGTGTATTCCGATATATTCTATCATTTTTCTTGTTCTAATTCATGTCCTCCGATCCATTCCATCTTTTTTGTTCTTCCCATTCATGTCTTCCGATCCATTCTATTCTTTATCTTCTTCTCGTCAATGACTTCCGTTCCATTACACCCTTTTTCTTTTTCTTCTTCTATCTACGTCTTCCGATATATTCCATTTTTTCTTTTTCTCATCCGTGTCTTCCAATCCATTCCATCCTTTTTCTCCTTCTATCCATGACTTCCGATCCATTCCATTATTATTCTCCCCATCCACGTCTTCCGATCCATTCCACCCTTTTTCTTCTTCTATCCATGTCTTCCGAAACCATTATATTCTTTTTCTTCTTCTCATCCATGTCTTCCGATAAATTCCATCATTTTTCTTCTCGTATCCATGTCTTTCGATCCATTCTATCCTTTTTTCTTCCCATCCATGTCTTCAGATCACTTCCATATTTTTCTTCTTCTCATCCATGTCTTTCGATTATTTCCGTCCTTTTTCTTCTCATCCATATCTGCCGATCTATTCCATCATTTTTCTTCTGCTTCTCATCCATGTCTTCCTAACCATTCCTTTTTCTTATTCTAATCCATGTCTTCCGACCCATTCCAACCTTTTTTCTTATTTTTCCCATCCTTGTCTTCCGATCCATTCTATCCTTTTTCTTCTTCTTCTCATCCATGTCTTCCGATCCATTCCATCTTTTTTCTTCTTCTCATCTATGTCTTCTGATCCATTCTATCCTTTTTCTGTTCTTCACATCCAGGTCCTCGGATCCATTTAATCGTTTTTCTCTTCTTCTCATCCATATCTTACAATCCATTTCATTCTTTTTCTTCTTCTCATCCATGTCTTCCGATCCATTCCATCCTTTTTCTTCTTCTTCTCATCCACGTCTTCCGATCCATTCCATCCTTTTTCTTCTTCTTCTCATCCACGTCTTCCGATCCATTCAATCCTTTTTCTTCTTCCCATCCATGTTTTGGATCCATTCCACGCTCTTTCCTTTCCAAACAAATCGAATTTCCGACCGATTGCCAACGTTCAATTCTTCCCAAACGATTCAATCCTATTTTACTTTTGGACACTTCTATGTTTTTTCAGTTTCAGATCCATTTTAATCTTTCTTTTACAGATCCATTTAATTCTCCTGATTCTACAGATCACGATCTTTCTTCCGAGTCATTTCAACATCTTTCTTCTTCTGATACATTCAATTCTTTTCTTCTTTGGATCCATTCCACGTCGTCTCTCCTTTTCATCCATTGTACACTATTTCTACTTCCGACCCTTTTCCTTCTTACTATACATCCCTTCATTTTTCTTCTTCCGATCCTATCCACTCTCTTTCTAATTGTTAGCAATTCCAGCTTCTTTCTTCTTCCGGTCTATTACTATGCTCTTTCATTTCCCATCCATTCCACACAATTTCTTCTTCCAATCCATACAACGCTCTTTCTTCTTCTGAAACATTCCACGCTCTTTCTCCGTCCGATCCATTCTACACTATGTCTACTTCCAGTCCATTCCACAAACATTCTTCTTTCGATTCTTTTAACGATCTTATATTTTGATATATGTTGCCAACGCTATTTCTCTTCCGGTCTATTCCACGGTTTATCTTCATCAGATCCATTCTCTTTTTCCATCCATTTTACACTCTTTTTTTTTATCCCTGGTCCATTCTACACTCTTACTTCTTCCAATCGATTTCTTTCGTCTTTTGCTCCATTTCACACTCTCTCTTCTTCACATCCATTCTACATTATTTCCGTTCCACTCGACAATATTTTCACTTTAGATCCATTGTACCCTCTTTCTTCTTCCGATCCCTTGCACGCGATTTCTTCCTACGATCCAATCTAACGACTTTCTTCTTCCTACCCACTCCACGCTAATTCTTCTTGTGATCCATTCTTTCTTCTTCTGATCCATTCAGCCCACTCTCTTCTTCCGATCCATTTCATACTATTATTTATTCCCGTCTATTCAACATTATTTTCACTTTCGATACATTCCTGGATTTTCCGATCCATTCCACTGACTTTCTTCTTTCGTTTCATTCCATCCTTTTTCTTTTCCCAATTCATTCCAGACTCTCTCTTCTTCCGAAGCCATGACACCCACGTTCTTCTGGTCATTCATTACTATTTCTTCTTCTGATCCATTCCACGCTGTTTCTTCTTTGAATCCATTCCGCCACCGTTCCTCGTCGGCTCTATTCCACCCGATGTCTTTTGCCTATTAATTCCCAAATCGTTCTTCTTCCTCCTCGTTTCTTTTCTCAATCCATTCCACCCTCTTTATTCTTCCGATCCAGTCGAGATTATTTCAGTCCAATCTCTTCTTATATATTTTACCCCTTCTTCTCCCGATCGATTCCACTCTATTTCTACTTCCAGTTGATTTCACACTTTGTCTTCTTCCGATCCATTCCACGATCTTTTATTTTCAGATCTTCTGGCAATGCCTTCTTCGTCCCAATCGATTCCGTTCAATCCACACTTTTTTCTCTTCTGAATAAGTCTACACTATTTCTTCTTCCAATTCTTCCAATCCTCTTTCTTCTTCCAATCCTCTTTCATCATTCAAGCCATTCCACACTCTTTCTTCTTACAACATGCACCAATTAAACGGTAATAGATAACGAGTTTTTTCTTTTTTACCTGCAGCCAAAGAAATGCAATCAATGAATTTTAATAATTCCTATTATCTTATTCATCATTTTTGTAATTATGCACACATATATATATATATATATATATATATAGTCATCAGCAGACAGTTTCGCTGTATCACAGCTCCTCAGTGTGGCTAAACATCATAGATGTCATATATATATATATTTATCATATGCAGTGTTAAATTAGAACATGCACATATCCACTACAAAATTGTACATGAGATGAGACGTCTAAAAAGGTTTTCCCTTTGTGTGACGTTGAAACAAAAATGTACAATTTTGTTGTGATATGTGCATGTTCTAATTTAACACTGCATAAGATAAATAGATATTTACGGCTCTCCTTTATGTATTGAGTACTATTTTTAAATTAATGTTTTGAACGCTGTCATCCTACTTTTTGTTCTCCTACACTTTGATATATATATATATATATATATATATATATATGACAAAAAGGAAAAAAGTTTTTGGGTAACTTGTTACCAACGAGTGATTTTTTTTTAATCTTGCCGATTTCATTTTCTTTGTTTTTCTTCCCATCACTTTTGATAACCCATACGATAATAATAGGAGACCTGCTAGAAATGGTCAAATGTTGTAAGAGCCCGGACGTAAATTTACTGTAGATAACCTTGCAATCGAGGCCCACTCTAGACATTTCCGTCGTAATGAATTGTTTTTTTTCCATTGATCAGAGTAGCATTATTATGTCAAAATTGTGGTCGTCTGGTTATGGTGGTCAACCAAAGCCTTATATATATATATATATATATATATATATATATATATATATATATATATATATATATATATTGTATTTTAGGCAGAGACGTCTCTTTTATACCAGCATTGCGATTACGTTTTTTATTTAATTTTTTCTTGTGTTTCAAAAAGTGTTTTCTATTCTGAGCACAGAGTGTGTAGAAACTGTACAAGTGTTTTGTAATTCCGAGCGTTTTCGGGCTATACTTTCAGCCAATATCAAGGATGATTTTATTTTTACTTTATAATTGAATGTATGGGTTGTGCCTATATTTCTAGAGTTATAGGGATGTTTTATTTTCTGAACACAGTCAGCACATTGTGGCCGTGTTCGTAGCTAATATTATTAAGTTCTGCCTATTTCTTTTTTATCATTAAGGCTTCCATTATTTTTAATATTTTTTTACATGTGGATGAGGTTATTATGTTTGTATTTTCTACTAGTATGTTTCCGATGGAATCTGGTAAGTTTGTGTGTGTGTGTGTTTAAATGGGTTCTAATGGAGCTGTGATTACATAGGTGTAACTTAAGTTGTCTGGATAGGCATGTAGTAGTGTGACCGATGTAATTATTTATGAGTTCAGTTTGATCAGGAACACAATTCTTTACGGGGCATTTGAACTCGTAAATAATGTTCGTTCTTTGTATTTTGCAGATGTCTTGTTATTTTTGAGGATAACTATTTTATTATCTGTTTTAAATTTTTGTAGTAGATAATTAATTTAATTTTTTTGTTCGGGTCAACTGGGGTAGTATATTTCTTTATGATATTTCTAAGTGAAGATTCATCTTGTTTATAACGGGCGTAAAAAATATTTATGTTATTTTGGTTAAGTAAAATTTGGAAGAGCGGGTCGCGTCTTAATGTAAACATATCCTTCTGCTCGTTGATATCCTATGGTCTCATCCATTCATTTTTAAAAAGCAGTTGTAGATATGTCTACATATCGCTCGGTTCATACTCCTTTCCTCCTTTTGAACAGGAGTAGCGAAGTATCCACGACTTCCTGTTTAGTATTTGCTTTCCAGTTCCTTCCAAAAATCTACTTCAACTCTATACTTCTAACGTCTCTGCTTAAAACTAAAAGCCTTTATTTACTATTTATTTACATTTTTTTACTCAGTAGGAGTAGATAGGTTTGCCTATTGTCCGGTTCATACTCCTCCTCCGGTCATTTGACTAGGAGTTGAGGTTTATCTCTGGTTTTCTGTTTAGGATTGGGTTTCTGGTTTCTTTCTAAAGTCTACTTCAACTCAATACTCCTAAAGGTTCCACTACCATCAAAACACACAAATTTATACGAAATGTGGATAAAAAAATTATTAATAAGATCTCCACAAAGGTAATTAACGCCATTGCTAAGGCGGTTTAAGCATTCTATCGGAAGAATTATGCATGAGGATCCTGTCACCGCAAATATATGGCCTCCTACTTCTCCAGACTTGAATACGTTGAACTACTACATATGGGGCTTAGTCGAAAGAAAAGTCAATCAACGCCCCCAGAACACTATCAAATCTCTGCTGTCTACCATGGCTAGCACATTGTCGAAAATATACAAATCGTACTTAAGCAGTCATCGACGAATTCATTATATGCGTTAGGAAAAGCCTCAAAATTATTCATGTCAGTTTGTTCTCAAATAAAGCTCTTTTTTATGACTTATGTGTCTTTTACTGAAATTATTGAAAGTGTCCTCAAAGAACTGAGCAACACTGTATAACCCTGCAGATAACACCATGTTCATGGCAGACGTACAGTAGAAACTTCGAGACAAGTTTGTGACAAGCCTGTATTTTTTCTACAGAAATAAAGTTGTCATTTTTTCGTTCAAAAAAAAAAAAAAGTAAAAAAGCCTTCCGGTACATCGAAATTGAAATTGTCACATTTTTTACCAATCAGAGCCATGGAAAAAGGACGCTGAAATTTATGACATTTGCAGACGATAAAAAATCAGTTCACTTCAAAATCTTAATGATTCCCCACTCTCGAGTTGTTGAATTAACAAAATATATCCAAAATCAATGACAAATTAGACGTAATTCTTAATTTTTAGGCCAAATTTGCAGCCTATTGTTTTTCGATTAATTATTTATCTATATATTTCGAAAAGTAATCGGAGTAATCCAAACTTCGGTAAAAATGTAGTTCATTTCTCAACTTTACTAATTACCTATTTTTGACATTGTTCTGTAGAACCCAAATTCTACATTATTCCAATACCAAATATAGTTGTATCAAATCTGTGCAAAAAGTGGATCACAGAACATTCATCTTCATACACTTTCAAAAAAATCTCGTACCCTCATTGGTTAATAAATATACAAGTAGGCGTGACTATCCACTCACGTTTAACTAATTTTACAGCTCGTGATTGAAATCCAAGTTTGCGCCAAGTTTCTGTGAGCCACCCGAAGCAAATAAAAACAGCAACTCATTCACACTCGCCAGTGAGAATTGTGACAATAATCGAATTGCAACTAAACTTCACGTCACACAATTTTAAGTTTTTTCGTTCATACGAACATTATACAACTTAACGATATTGACACTCACTCATCAAAACTTATCAGTGAACTTTATTCTTATTCACTCACCAAATTCCTTTATACAGAAGTTAAACAAATTCCTGCTAACAAATCAACTTATTTTTTTTTTTTACATTTGAAAGCATTGTATTACACAAAACAATCAAAGGTAGATAACTTCTTTTATCACATTCAACTTTATAAACATTTACTACTTACATGAACAGTACATTTTTTTCTCTTGCAATTCATTTACAGAATCTTCAATACCAAATTTTAACAAACAACCTTTCGAATTAGAATTCATTAACAAAATTTAATATTTCACCAAATTTGAGTTCTACATAAATTAAACTAACAATATTTCAGTTAAAAAAATCACCTATATTTTTGTAAAATATTTTCATTACAAAAATAAACTGAAAATATTTTAATATATTTTAACACAAATGTTTCTTGTTGTTTCCTCTTGTTGTTATTGCATCTTGCTTAACATATTCGTAGAGTTAAAAAATGTATGGGTTGATTTGGGCCATCAACACCATTAAATAAATGGCAACCACCAAACTTTCCACTACAGTTCTACTTTCTGTGGTATCTAATTATATTGTATTTTATTTCATCTTTATTTTATTGTCAGCATTCTTCGAAATAACGCGGCTTACATTATCTTCAGACATACTTAACTATTGTTTTATTACGGTTGTTAATACTACTACTGCTGATACATACATCTAGAGAATCACCGTAAACATAATCATGGATATAAAAAAAAAATCAAATAATAAGGGAACTTTATCAACACACAGAGTGAAAAACTATTTGACAAGTTAATTTTAGAAAATCGGGAAGAGTGGACTAACCATTATTTGTAAGCAAACAGAGAATATATGATTGTTCGCAAAAAGAGACAACCTGACATATGAAAACCAAGCAAGTACAGAAATTTAAATATCAGGGAGGTGTCTTACAGATGACGGTAAATACAGGAAGGTGTGGAGGGGCATGATCACCTATAACCTTGTGAAAATTAATTGAAACACTTTACTTTTTTTTCGTATTTTGCCAATGAACCACAATCCAGTGCAAATGCTAGTACTTCGCATAACCATTTCACGAAGTTGTTCCTTGCAGAGTGACAAAAGATTCTCGATTGGATTCAAATCAGGGGAGTTTCCGGGTCACTTTATAGTACTTTGATTTGCCAGTGTGTTCGTGCAGTGTTACCATTTTCGTACGCTTCCTTGGAGTAACGTCCATCACAGACAATGGCCGTAGGACAACTAATCAACAATCGAGACAATAGTGTTTAGGTGTGATGAAAATGTGACGCAATCGCGGATGATGCAATATTTTTCAAAGCCAAACAAATTTCATCATACACCCCGGAAATAGATTCATATTACTGCACACAACCGCAAATGTCCTAATCAGAGGAAAAAAATAGAAATCGATTACACCCTGTCACTTCAGAGGGTTTAAAACTAACCGTATGTTGAAAGAAAGGAAACTAAAGTGGTTGTTTCAATTAATTTGCACAAAGGTGTGTATAATGCTTTTGTACTTTATGAATTACATCACAGAAACTATACACGAAAATAGATTCATATTAATGCACACCATTGAAAAAGACATAATCTGAGGAAAAGATAGAA